ATGTATATGACAAATGAGATTCTCGTATGTATTATGGCATATGAGACAGATGAGTATTGCCATATGTATATGACAAAAATCAGTTTCTTACAGTTGTTTATAGACCAGAAGACTGGCCTGACAAGTAGTTAAAGCCACAAACACTTGTAATTTTTCCTGAGGTTTATTCTGGTAGCTGGAAGAAAAGAAACTGCTTGCATGCATTTCTGTAGATTTTATTTTGTGTAATGATGTATCAGCTAGTTTTTCTTAGAAAAATCTTCACAAAGCCATTCTGCTTGATAAACAAATAACAATATATTTTGTCATACTAAAAAAAAAAAAAAAAAAAAAAAAAAAAAAAAAAAAAAAATTAGCCTAATCAGTTCTTTCCTTTCGGACCCAGAAGTAAAAGCTGGGATCATAGTGTTTCCTACATACAACATGAATATGAGACAGTTTCTTTTAGAAATTCCTCCACGAAGGCATCCCTTCATTTAAGCAGATAGCTGTAATGTAATTTGCTATATTCGAACAAATAAAACAAACAATTTAATGACTTCTGTTTCTACAGCATCTAGTCCCTCTCAATAGTTAGAATTTGCTGAATATTTTTTTCATGATGCATTCAACAGTGTCTCTAGTTTCCTTACAAAGGTCATTTCAAAAATAGACATTGCGCATAGTACCTTTCAGCAATTCGCAGAAAACCATTTAGTTTTTTTTTTTTTTTTTTTTTTCATATTAATGATGATGAATTCTGAGATTTTTAGCACATTTTTGCATTGCATTAGTCTGAATGAAGCAGGTGGATAGATAATTTATTGTGACAAATTATATAAAAGATATGCCTTTATGAGAAATTTTTTAAAGACAGTTAGCCTAAATTTCTCTAGGAATAAATGCAGCTTTTTTGAAGTTAAGTAATTTGTATTTTTATGGGAAAGCCTTGAAAACCATGTGTTTCCAATCTATTTATCTACTGGTTATTGAATCTGGAACAAACTAATAATAGCATTCCATGGCTTCAGACAACATTCTACCCATGATGAGCCTTTTTTTCTAATACAGTAAAACATGGGTAATTTTTTATTAATGGGTAATGATAAATGATGACCTTTCAGTAAATTTATGAAAATTAATACACGTATGTGTACAGTTGGTTGAATACAAAATGAAGAGCAAAATATTAATGTAATTTACTGTATACCATACACAAAATGTTATAGCTATTTCACAATAAAAAGGAATGGAAAAATTTATTTGAATAAACATTTTAATTTTAAAAATGCATAAGCCAGGCTATTTTCCATATAAACATTCATAGTATTGAGCAACTAATTGAAGTGGGAGACAAGAGTTCATATCTACTTTGTAACATACTTCTGTCACCAGTCTATTGATTGAACAATAAGCAAGTGACAATCAAAATCATCCATTATCAGTCAATGATGTGTGTGCTAATTTAAGTTCTTATTTATATGAAGTGACACCTGCTTGATTTTTACTCGCTAGAAATACTCTTTCATGTGAAATTAAATATCAAATTACGGAAGTTTATGAAGTTGACCTGTTAAAAATTCAAAATTGAGTCAGTGACATGGAAAGTTCTTGGGTGAAAGAGATGACATGCATTTCTAAGGGAAACTCGCTCGTATACACATTACACATGGGGAAAACCACAAAAACACCCATGCAGCCAGCCTGTTTGCCTTTAATATAAGGTTAGGTACTTTTAATATAAAAAGATTTTACTAAACTAACAGTCTCTATCTTTTTCTTTTAAATATTTTATTCCTAAATGGATACTGCTTTTTGGATTTTTTCATGTATTCATGAATAAATATTTTTATGCTTCAGTTTTGCATGCTTGGATACTGAGCTGCCATTTTTCGAAGTTAATTAACTATAATTTTTTATCTTTAGGTATCTGACACATAAAATTCTAGTAAATTAAAAAAAAAAAAAAAAAAAAAAAAAAAAAAAAAAAAAAACTCAACTTTTATAATTACAAGAAACGCATAGTGAACTTTACGAGAATCTGTGGTTATATCTAATCTAATATTATTATAGATTTGTTTAATGGCTAAAGTCATGAACAGGTTTAAGAAATAATTATGTCTATACTTCTCATAGTATATAAAAAAAAATAAAAATCTATTAATCAGACCTTAATATAGAAAATGCATAATTTTTGTAAACATACCAAAGGTTCTTCACTAGTTGTTAAACAAATAAAATCTGTTCAGAATTTTAATTCAAAATTCAGAAAGAAAATTAAATTTTGTGTGGTTTCTGCATATATGTGATTCATGCATATTAATGATTCTAACTAAAACTTAAGAAAAAAAGCCTCCATTAAGAATAATAATGATGAACTTTATCTCTTACAAGAATCTCAAAGATAAATTTTACTATTTTATTACAAAAGTGTTACTTTATAACAGCTGCACATTTAAATAACCCCTATGTTCTCAACAATTTTAGTACAGAAATTATCTTTAAAGTAAGAACCCCGAAATTAATCTCTAAGAATTGGTAATTCAATCCAGGTTAGACTATTGGCGCACAATTTGTCTTCATAATTTTTCCTATGTGCACAGTGAATATGAATGTTATGAATGTTACATAATCTTTCACGAAGGAAAGATTCCTCTTAAGCAGATAGCCTTTGTGTGCTTTGCCATAAATTGACTAAAAAATACAGCTTCATAAAATAAGTAATTAGGGAAATATGAATAAAATAGCCATCAGTAAATTTTTTAATGAAGTTTTTCTTAAAAAATAATTATATTTTCAATTTTAGGACAAGTACATTTCTGAAAATATTGAATGAACTGAATATTGTAATGAAGGTTCATTGTGTTCTCGATGAAATTAAATAATGCAGAATTTTTAATGTAATACTACTATATATTGAATGCTTTAAAACTCTTTAATTAAGTTAGCATAAAAATATTCAAATTAATTGCATTTTTATTTGAAATTCCAACAAGCAAACTTAAAACTGTAGTTACTTAAACTGTTTTTAAGTATTTTAAAAATTTTAAATGCATTTATTTGCAACAAATATTTTAATTGTAGTAATTAGCTTTATAAAATTGAATTTTGATTCTTGTTTTTAATGGAAAATCAAAATCCTTAAATAAGTATAGAAACAGACAGCTATGTATAAATATTTACAGCACTAGAGAAAAGTACTCAAAGAAACTCTGTTTCACATTAAATTTACTGGGAGTTAATAAACAATAACTAAACTTTGACAAAACAAATAAATTTCCATTAATTGATGTAATAAATAAACAGAATATCAGAATGAAATGAGTAACAATGCAAAATTTACGAAAATATGCATATCAATACATGCAAATTATAAAAATAAAAATAATGGGTAAAAGTTTACAATTGGGTGCCCTTTGTTTTTTGGGGATTCTTTTTTGACGCCAAGATCGGTGCCAGGAAGGCACAATTTCAAGATGGCCGCTACACAAAACCAAAATAAGAAGTCAAAAAATTGCACAAACTCTGTGTCCATGTACACATCAATCTGTTTTCACTTAAAAAAAACATCTTAGAATTGCACAAACTAGGCATTGCACACTGCCTTAAATTTGTCCATGTACACATCAATCTATTTTCATTTAAATAAATTCAGGAAGCTAAAACACAGTTAAAACTATCATGGTAACCAGAAGTGAGGTTTCATCGGCAAAATTTTTTAAAAAATTGTCGCTAATCCATAGCTAGGGTTTTCAGCGCCCAGGGACAACTGAAGATTTCGCGCCCCCTACTGCTTGCCAAGGATGGAAAACATTTAATTCTAACATGTCGTAACATCAGTTTGGAGCCCCTTGGATTCTGCGCCCGGGGATAGATGCCCCCTCTAGCTACGCCCCTGCGCTAATCGAAGGGGCACCCAATTCTACACTAGAGCCAAATAATGAACAGTCAACGAGAAATATATACACTGCATGAATTAAAAAAGAGGGACAAGAAGAAGATGCATGAAATATGCTTTAGTTTCTTCCTTTATTTACCTTTAGTATTACAGCTTTTCAGTTATACAATGAATATTTAAACAATGTCTGGAAAGAATTAAAAAAGTCTAATTATCTGAGCCAAAACTGTTAGTATTGTGACAAGTAATATAAAATTATATAATCAAATTAATAAATCTGAATCAAGATAAGACAAATTATAATAAAAGAATATATAGAATTACAGGAAAATTAGTTTATTTGAAATATGAAAACAGCCTACAGTATAGCATCAGATTAAAACATTAGAAGGGTACCTTGGATTGTAAGAAGTTATTAATATAAATTAGAATATAGAGGAAAGGATGAAATGACAAGACTGGAATTTTAGAAAATTTGTTATTCAGTGACAGATTACATTCTTTTGATAAGATGGACAGAAAGCTATTTTGAAGTAAGATCTTATTTGTTCAAAATGTTTTCTAAATCTGGAACACTGCACCACTAGGTAAGGTTTGAGACTGTATATCCCAGAATGAAAATATTAATAATTAAAATGTAACTGAAATAATAATACAGTAATTTTATTATAATTCAATAAATGCACAAAATTGTGAGATAATTACTTCAAAGTACATCAAATTTAGAACTACAGTATACAAAAGTTTGGAATACAAAAGATCCCAAGTGTGAAAAATGAAAAGAGTAGTACCAGCTACACAAAATTCTTTGCTGAACCTAGATGTATACAGACATTTTATGATGAAAAAAAATGATTTTTAAAACATTCTGATAGAAAAATATGAAACTCTTTGATGAGATCTAATGAAAATATCAACAGAATCAACTTGAAGATGTTTATAAGTTTTTGCAAAACAGTACGTTTTTTATGAAAAAATAAATAATATTTCTTAATTTCTTGTAGAGTTTTTAATCCATAAAAATAAAAGTCAAATATTATTGTCCTAGCAGTTCGTACATGTGGTATATAAATATTGTTAAGAATTAGTTCGATTTTCTATTCCTTTTCATTCATTACAAATAAACTGTTTTGCTAATAACCGAAATATGAAATATACTGTGACCCAAAATGTTGTTCTATGCCGTTTAATTACTTTTTCTTACTGTTATTTATTTCACTTAGAGTGCAAGTAGATGCGTAGCAATACAATAACAACAGTATTCAAATTATAATAATTTAATTCAATATAAGACACAGAGTAATATCATATGTAAATTTTCTGTCAAACATTGTGAATTATATGTAATAGGGAATGTTTACAAACTAAGAACAATATCTGTGAATTTAAAAATGTTCTGCCTAAAAAACACTCAAGAGTTCAATGTTAACTCAAGAGTTTAATAGTTTTCCTATATCCTTAAAGTTCAAGTGCATACCATATAACAGCGATAGCAAATTGTTACCGATAACTGCTGTGCTTGTTTACGATATTATTTACCTATTCTAATTGCCAAGCAGTGATAAATCAAAGAGTAGGGCAACCACCGTTAGAACTATATTAACCCTGCTCGTATGCCATTGGTCAGCAAAGATAATGTAACGATGACGTAGGTACACTTCCGGTGATGACGTACAACACACTTCCGGGTTCCGATTTGCGGAATTGTAGCTCGTTCTAAATAGAATTGTATCGATTAACAAATTTTGCATGTTTCGCTGTAATCGTACTGATACGTATTTTGTAATTTTGAAAGATTGTATTATTAAATATTTTCCAATGGGTAAAGGTCGAAAAAAACGTTTTCAACATAAGCGGGGTAATGCGACTAGTTCAGATAACCAAAGGAAGGTAAGTCATAATTTCATATTCTAGATGTAACCTACGCACGTGTTGTTGCGATCCGGATATCTAAGAGCAGTAAACTCAATCAGTTTCGTTTCTGTACGTCTACATGTTGCTCTAGATAATGATTAAGCGTTGTGACTGGTATTAGGCGTCTATTTTTGATTGTCTTTTTTTTAAATTAGTGATGGAAGGTATGGAGGCGAAAATTATTCAGAATCAAATAGAAAGTAAAAAAAAACTTTTAAAAACTGTTAATTTATCAGTTCTACACGATAAAGGGGCAAAATTGAAGAATCAAATAGCAGAATTAGAAAAAGCACTGCAGGACTTCAAACTTCCATTAGAAGAAGTTGATTTGGAAAAAAAATGCAATATAACATCAGCGGATTCTTTACCAGGACATTCATTAGATCAGTTAAGTAAAACAGTGAGTGAGAATGGTGAACATCTACAAGGAAGTTCATCTAATGTTAGTAGTAAAGAAATTTCAACGTCTGTCTCAGAACTTTCATTTGAGCAGCTAAGTAAAATGGTGGCAAAGGATAGTTCTTCAAAGCCAATGTTTGATTCCCCTTCGTTTAAAAATTGGAGAGGTGAAAAAGTTACTAGACATATTAAGTTAACTGAACCAAAACCACTAGTAGAGTGTTTGACAAAAAAAAGTATACCAGGTGTCGGTACTACCAATGCTGCTTTGCCTTTAGAAAATGAAGCTAGTGTAAAGAAATTGCATGCTTCATTAGTCTCGTACACAGATGAAACAAAAGAAGAAGAAGAGCCTCTATCTCTCCTAACTTCTTTAATGAAGCATCAAAAAAGAGCCTTAGCCTGGTTGTTATGGAGAGAAAATCAATTACCAAGTGGAGGCATCCTTGCTGATGACATGGGACTTGGGAAAACATTAACCATACTGTCGCTGATTTTGAAACAGAAAGAGAACAAAAATTTCCTTTCAAGTTCTCAGTCTGGAAATGACATTTGTAAAGGAACTTTAATAGTGTGTATGGCTTCCATTATTCATCAGTGGAAAGATGAAATTTGCAGACATTGTGGTAGTAATGTATCAGTTTTTATATATCATGGCCCAAAACGGCAGAATGATCCTAGACTTTTTAAGTTACATAATATAACTTTAACTACTTATAGTATATTGCTTTCAGAAAGGAAAGCCCATATGAGCACAAAAGCAGATAAGGCTCTGTTTTTACTGAAATGGGAAAGAATTATTTTAGATGAAGCTCACACTATTAAGAATCACAAATCTCAAACTGCAGAAGCAGTTTTTAGCTTAAAGAGTTTTCGACGGTGGTGTGTGACGGGTACACCAATTCATAATAATTTCGATGACATGTACCCTTTAATAAAATTTTTACAGTTTCCAACATTTGATGATTATAAAAAATGGAAGGCATTAATCAGTGATGTTAGTGATGTTAGTAAAAAAAGAAGAAATATGTTAGTAAAAAGTATCTTGCTGCGAAGAACCAAATCTGATACTACTAATGATGGTAAGCCATTAGTTAAAATGACAAAAAAAAAGTATGATGTATGTTTCATAGAACTTGATGATGATGAGATGAAAGAATATGTGAAATTTCAAAAAAAGATCAATGAGAAAGTTAAAAAATATTTTGATCTTCGCTTAATGCATAAAAATGCAAATACAAGTTCTTCTTTACTAGTATATCTACTTCGTTTACAACAATGCTGCAATCATCTGAGTCTTCTAGGTGAAGAAATTGAAGAGGAAATTTTACCAGATACTTTAAAAGAAATTTCATGTAGTTTATCTTCATTAAAAATTAAAGATAGTAATGTGACTGAAACTGATCATGATAATGAACAAAGTCTTGAACTCAGTTTAACGGAATATCAAGAGAAAAAATTAACTGACCGTTCAGTGAAAAGCACAAAACTTAAGAAGCTTTTCAGTGAGCTGAAAAAAATTTCTGAAGAATCAGAGGAAGCAAAAAGTGTAATTGTCTCTCAGTGGGTATCCATGCTTGAAATAGTTGCGTATCATCTTCGAAAGGAAGGTTTTAAATATCATATGATTGCAGGTAACACAAAACCAGAGGACCGTCAAACTGCAGCTGATGATTTTAATAAAAATAGACTTGGATCTAAAATAATGTTGCTTTCTTTAAAAGCTGGTGGCGTGGGCTTGAACCTCACTGGTGCAAGTCATTTGTTCCTGATGGATCTGCACTGGAATCCAGCACTAGAAATGCAAGCATGTGACAGGATCCATAGATTAGACCAGAAAAAGGATGTTGTTATACATAAATTTATATGTAAAAATACGATTGAAGAAAAAATTTTGGATTTACAGAAAAGTAAAAGCTACTTAGCTGATACTGTTCTACATGGTGCAGGGCGAGTCACAAAAGGCATATCGCTGGATGATTTTAAGACTTTATTTAGTATAAAAATATGATTCATTTAACAAATGGGTATTCCAGAAATGAGTGAGTTTAAGCATATTTTCCCTGCAAAATGTACTGTAAAACAGCAAGTTTTCTACTGTTGTATGCAATTGGCCAAAGTTTTAATATTTTCATAAATCTTGATACTTGCTAATAAATAAAATTTTAATACCAAAAAAGTCTTAATACTTATAAATAAGATAAACATTGCTTTAGTTTACTTGAATGTGGAGATTAAGACATGGATTTTTATTGTATTTAAATTTTCCTGAACTGTTTTCTTAACTTGTTTAGTTCATATTACACTTGGGAAAAAATGTAATATTTTTGCAAAATCTCCAGATCAGTTTTTTAGCATTTAAAAAAAGTACCAGGATATCTTCAAGATTTTTAGTTCTTTTTCGGTGAGAGCTTTCATTTCATTTAATCATTTTTGACCCAAATGATCTAAAAGATCGTCTAGATTTTTTTAATGTAAAATAAGCTGGCGACTGCTGTTTTTTAATCACATCTTCTGGTTTTTAAATTTTAACTTTACTGAGAGAAACTACATAAGAAAATGTTTCCAAGCAATAAATGAAACTTATTGAAATAAATTAACTTAAATTGCATCCCTTAACTCTACAAATATTCAGCATGAATGTTCCTTACTAAATTTTATTGGATCTGAATTGTTTTAAATCTACTGTAAACATTCCTAGAACTTTTGATACATTTTTATTTATTGGACAGGCTTCAGAAATGTACGTATGGATTACTAAATTCAAAATAAAGTAATAAAAGTAAATTAAAAAGCCTAAAACTTGCACTAAAGCTGCAAAGTAATAAACCAATAATTTATAATAAGAAATCTTTCCATATACCATCTCCAAGGAACACAAATTGTATTTAAAACCATGAAAGAAAAAAAAATTAGAATTTAAAAAGTAATTTCAACTTCTTGTTTATAAATTAGCTAAGAAAAGTCTTTAATCATAAAAATCCAAAACCAAAAGTAAATTTTAAATATTGAATTAGCAGCTATTGTCATTGATCGCAGATTAATCGACTTATCAAGGGGATAAACTTCTTGTTTATAAATTAGCTAAGAAAAGTCTTTAATCATAAAAATCCAAAACCAAAAGTAAATTTTAAATATTGAATTAGCAGCTATTGTCATTGATCGCAGATTAATCGACTTATCAAGGGGATAAACCAATAATTACTTTTTAAATGCTATTTACATTCTAATTTTTTTTCTTTCATGGTTTTAAATTCAATTTGTATTCCTTGGAGATGGTATATAGAAAGATTTCTTATTATGAATTATTGGTTTATTACTTTGCAGCTTTAGTGCAAGTTTTAGACTTTTTAATTTACTTTTACTACTTTATTTTGAATTTATATTCTAATTAATAGTAGCTTTCAGTGCTATTTTTGTAACAGCCTACTCTCTATTTTTTTACTTCCATCACTTAATACTTGAAGGGTAAAAGTTTATAATTGGGTGTCCCTTGTTTTTTGGCGATTCTTTTTTGACGCCAAGATCGGTGCCAGGAAGGCACAATTCAAGATGGCCGCTATACAAAATCAAAATAAGAAGTAAAAGAATTACACAAACTCTGTGTCCATGTATACATCGATCTGTTTTCACTTAAAAAAACATCCTAGAATTGCACAAACTAGGCATTGCACACTGGCTTAAATTTTTCCATGTACACATCAGTCTATAGTCATTTAAATAAAATCAGGAAGCTAAAACAAAGTTAAAACTATCATGGTAACCAGAAGTGAGGTTTCATCGCCGAAATTTGAAAAAAATTGTCGCTAATCGAAGGGGCACCCAATTCTACACTAGAGCCACTTGAATTTACAGCACATTTGGTTTTTAAATTTTGAAGGCAAGTTTGTTAATTTTAACGTACTAGTTTGATCTTTAAATTTCTAATTAACTACTTGTTTTGAAATTTAATTTAAGATTGTATCATTTTTTATCTTCTTGTAATTTTGATTAAACTTTTAATTGTTTACTTCTGTTTATGAATTTCAATGAGAGTGTAGAAGATATGTCTTCTAAAGTAAGTTTCTAAGAACACAGATTAATTGTGTTCTTAATGAGAACCTTTAATTTTAAGGTTATTTGCTATTTTGTTTTACAAGATTCTTATGTCTTAAATGGACTAATGTCTTTATTGGGTATTAGTTGGGGCTATGCTTACTTGGAAGTAAGATGAAATATTCTCTTAATTTAGTTGTTAATTGATGGTAGATTGGTTTATCCTAAAGTGACCACATTTTCATTGAGATAAAGCGAGACAAATAGAATGAAATGAGAATTGTAATTTAGCAGACCAATAATTAAAAAAATATATAATTGTATACATCCATAAACTTGTTTATAAATATACAAAAATATATTTATTAGTATTAACTATTGGTAACTATAAAAATATTTCTAAAAAACAATAATTTGAATATTATGTTTTTTATTAATTTAAAAATTTTATTAAAAAAACTATTATTTTCTTTCACGGCCATATTTTTTATCCGAGTGAATACTTTGCAATAGATTCAGATCTTTTATTAAAATAAGAAATTTCTCACATGAATTGGTCAAATTATAATTTACACTTAATGCAGATTTTAAAGTTTTGATGTTCAACTAACGTTTTTCAATTGTCCATATTTTATTGATAATAATAATAATAATAATAATAAAAAAACTTCTATTGCTACATTTGTTCCTGGAAGGGAAAGCGCGTGTTCTACAATTTTCAAAATATTTTCATAGGGAATACAGTCAAAAGTTGTTAATTCGAACACCCATAATCCGGAATGATCTATAATCCGGACCTCAAAGCTAAAAACTCTCTGCGCATGCGCCGCGTTGACGCATGCGCATAGGCGTTTAAGTGTGTGCGTAAAACCTTTACGACTGCGCATTTGCGTGTGCACAAGTGCAGAATACGTTTTCGCTGCGCGTTTAATGTATAATGAACGGTATAAGCTAAAATTATCTAATTGTCTATTTCAGTTAATGTTGATGATTGCGTTGTCCCTTAATCTTCGAATTGGATCCGGCTTATTATTTTTTGCAGACTGTAAGAGCAATTTTATAAAAGTAAGCTTGAACTTTCGATTATGTCAAATAGAATTTCCGATGCTGGAGCTTCCAAAGGATCTACGAAAATGAAAGTATGTTTCGATGTCCATCAAACAAAAAGTGGAATTGCTCCAAAAAATGGATAAAGGCATATCCTTTGTTTATCTAACCGTTCCGAAATCTGTTTATCAATTTCACGCTGCTCTGCGGGGGGGGGGGGGGGGACGTGGCGGCGCGCAATGAACTGGAAGTTGATCTGTCAACACTATTGTTATCTTCAGGGCAGATGTTTTTATTTTATTCCGCTTATAATTCCTTATTAAATGTAGTATTTCATCTCGATGTACTCCGTCTTTGATATGATTTAAATCAAATTCCTCGTCATTATAAATATCACGAATACAAATCAAATAGTTTTCTGGTTACAATTTTCTAATTTCGGCTATGCATAATGTATGCTTTACGCATGCGCGCGTTGAAAGAAATGTTTAATAAAATAAACAAATATTAAGCTTTTTTTTTTGTAAATTTTGATACCCCTTAGATCATAATTGCTCATTATTTTATAAATTACGGTTTCATATTTTTAATTTTATAATTTCTGCATGCGATCTTACCAGATTTAAACTGATGATCTATAATCCGGAAAAATCGATAATCCTGAATCGCCGAAGTCCCGACGAGTCCGGATTAAAGACTTTTGACTGTATATCTTAGAAGTAATCATTTCTATGTCAACTGGCAAAACATCAGCTGTTGTAAGTGTAAAATATGTTTCAGGACATTTTGTAATTTAATGCTAATTACTTGATAAGTTTTTACAAAGTTGATTTTACTCTCATATTATTTATTAATTATTTTAAATATTATGTTATTTTTAATAATAATGTTTCCTATTTACAGATATGTTTTAGTCTTAGAATGATAGCACAAATATTAAGTTTGGGCATAAATACCATATTTTTAAATAATTTTGTCTGTTTATAGAATTAAAGAGAATGTATTATCACGTAAAAAACGAAGCAACTTAAACAACTTACATTGAAAGAAATGTTTAATAAAGTAAACAAATAAATATTAAGCTTTTTTTTTTGTAAATTTTGATACCCTTTAGATCATAATTGCTCATTATTTTATAAATTACGGTTTCATATTTTTAATTTTATAATTTCTGCATGCCATCTTACCAGATTTAAACTGATGATCTATAATCCGGAAAAATCGATAATCCGGAATCACCGAAGTCCCGACGAGTCCGGATTAAAGACTTTTGACTGTATTCTGTTTAAAATGAAAGAATAACTCTGTCCATTTTTTTTCCTGTTTCCACATTTGCAGACAACCAACATTTAATTTTTTAATTAGTAACATATCTTTTTACCAATGACATCTCATCAAAAAGATAATTTTAATGTCAACTAATGAAAATTTTTAATATCCTCGAATTCAACGGTCCGTTCTTCAAGATATTCCAAGCAGTTATTATAAAAATTTCTGACTTTCAGAAAATCAAGTTGTTTTATTGCACCTTGTTCTTCCAACCTAGTGATGTCCCTTCAAATAACTTAAGGAACGTAATTGTTATCAATTTTTTCTCGCAATTTTGTTTTTAAATTGATTTCATTTGACACTCCCGTAATCGAAATTTTGTCCCCTTCAGTAATTTTCATAGCTCGGTTGTGGATGAACTGAAGCCAAATTTGTAATGTTTCATTTTTAAAAGAGTTTCAATATTCTTGGACATTTGTCTTGTGATAAAAAGTATCATTTTAATGGTTCGTATATTTTAAAAATATTTTCTACAGCTGGTTAAAGAGTTAGCCATTATGTTTTGCTGTAACCAATAATTATTTTATATTCGATTTTTGCGCTTTCACAAAAATCCTTCAAACTTTCAACACGCATACAGTGGCGTAGCTAGGGTGGGGCAAGGGGAGACATCTGTCCCCGGGCGCAGCATCCAATAGGCGCCAAATTCATGCAATCAGTTGATCTGAAATTTTTTAATGAAACGTTTTCCATTCTTGGCACCAGAAAGACACAAATTCTTCAGTTGTCCCCGGGCACTGGAAACTCTAGCTCGCCCCTGCATGCATA